CGTCTGAACGTTTGCTGTCTACCTCCAGTGTCCGGGACGCACCGCTGGAGGGAAACCCCGTGGAGCCCAGCGAGGGGTAGTGCACTGTGGGAGTGTAACTGGGGCGATTTCAGTTTGGCCTTCTTTTACCTCTCTCCTCAGGAAAATTTCCGAGTGCAACACTCCTTCTCTCACCTTACCTTAAGAGGAAAATAAGGGGGTTGGTGCGATTCACCGATGACTCACCTCACTCCCAGAAAGGTCCCTGAGTGAGGGTGCCCCGCTCAGGCCTCGGTGACGCTGACCTCCTTCCCCGCTCTCTTCCTTCTGGTCAGCCTGGTTCAGTGTCTGCAGAGAAAGTAGGAGGCTTGTCCGGGCCTTGGCGGTTGTGGACCTTTCAGGGGACTCCAGACTGCTGTCCGCGTCGATGTAGTTTCCGAGAGAAACCATGGAGATGGCGCTAACCCTCGCGGGGTAGCGGAGATCCGCCCGCTGAACTCCGGGCCTGGGACTCAGGGGCTTGGGGCTCACGGGCTTGCAGGGCTTGCCTTGGTTTTCATATGCCAAGCAACTGGCAGAGCTGCAGGGCAGGCCGAGGCTGATCCCCACCTGCTGGGCTCTAGGGCTGGTAGGGGACGTCAGCCAGGACTTTTCAGGAAAGGCACCTGCAGGTAGGTACCTACGCCCTTCCTGGGGGACTGTGCATTTGATGGTTGGTTCACTTTTCCTCCTGTGTTCTGGAGAGACCACATTGCTGGACATCAAAGGGGTCGGGGGACGTGGGGGTGTCCAGTGGTCCCTAAAAACATAGCTGTCCTTGTCCTCGGCCCACTCCTCACAGTGGCTGTTGGTCACTGATGGCGGAGGGCCGAGGGGATCGGGGACTCCCGGGCCTGGAAGCGGCCCCACTAGGGAGGGCTTTTTGAGGCCTTCTGTATCCCTGCTTTTCAGAAATGCGCGCCAGGAACTCTGGCGCAGCTTGCTCTTCTCCTTCTCGCCCTTGAGAGCACCTGGAGAACGTTCATAGGTGTTCTCTTTTTCTGCAACTTTTGACTCAAAAAAATTTGAAAAGGTCTTATGAGCTAAGGCCAGCCTTGCCCTGAGCTTCTTCTCCGTTGTTTTGAGTCTCTTTGTGCTGCAGCTTTCTGAGAAAGGACTTCTGCCCAGGTGCCCCGGTGTCCCCAGATCCCCGCCTCCTACCAGCCCTGCGGCCCCTTCGCCTGCGCCCTGCGGTACGATCTCGGAAGAAGCGCTCCCGTCCACGTGGTGCTGAGGTCCCAGGTCCCCGTCGGCCGCTGCGGTGGCGCTTTCCGCGTGGAGCTCCTCGGGGCCGGAAGAGCCCCCGGTGCGGCTCCCGGGCGCCCGGGCGCCGTCGGCCCCTCCCGGGCTTTCAGCG